AAATGAATTTGCTTACAATGAAGATGTTTTAAGCATAAAACAACCTATTACAGAACAACTGCTTTATGATAGGTATTAGCTTTTTACCTGTCTCAACTGTTTATATATACACACATTTATTTTATTTTATTATTTTATTGAACTTTAAATCATAATTTGTCCAAAATAGGTTGTATTTACTTTTAGCCTCATCAGATCTCCCTTTGTTAGTCCAAAAGCACTTGGTTTAACTTTTATAATGACCATTTGAAAAACTGAGTCATCTTCCCACATTTTAATCAAATATTTCAGCATAGATTGATATGAATTGAGTTCATATGAATTGCCATGTTTACCGATGCAGCATTAAGATCCATGCAACCACATTTTCATTGTGCGTTGCGTTTACTGATCCAGACCATATATGTCCGTCTCAGTAGATCCTGTAGTTAATTAGCATTTTCATGGTGTAGCTTATCATTCCTGGTAAGTAGTCTTGTGTTTTCAAGAGCTGAAAACACAGTTCTGCTTGTGTTTCTCCATCTCATTTAATCCTTGTTCCTTTAACATGGTGTTTTCTTTTATTTTCATCAGTATGGCTTACGTTTGTGTGTTGTTTGTGTGTGTTTACACAGGAGTTAACCCATAAGTGAATGCACTAAGAGCTGAATATTGAGATTATCTTCACCGTTCCAGTGCAGTTTCTCTGTTGAAATATGTGCATGAATATGAACAGAACAAGCCTTGTAGTTAATGTTCTGAAGTTCTGTACAAAGAGAGTTAATTATGTCTCTGAATAAGCATGCTGGGTTCATTTCCATGTGAGTGATGAATGCCCTGCTTCAGAATGACGCTGTATGTGATGTCATGTTATATACTGTGTGTGGATAACACATGAAATGTATCCCGCTTTGGCAGTCTGTGTGGAGAACCTAAATATTATGGGGGTGAATTCACTAAGAATGAAGTGACAGTACTGTTTATTTGCACATGTTTGCTGTTTTAGTAATTAGAGATTGCGTAAAGGAATTATGCTAATCAGGTAACAAAATCTATGCTATTTGCACTGCACATTTCCTGGTCCTGCTAGGTTGTGAAGGATATATCAGACAAACATGATCTGGCATACTTTACTGCAACTGTGCAGAATGGTTTTAACACTGTGATCAATGCACCTCTTTAAAATGTGTCAAATTGACTCATCTGCACCATGCATTTGGACATATGCCCAGTTATAACGCTCTTCTCCATTGCTAGATTATCATTTGATGAATTACTGCTGCCATGATTAATAGAAAATGTACACAAACAAAATTGTTAACCGGCTTGACGTTACGTTTTGTGAGGTTCAATTCCTAATTTATAGAGAGAGGAGGATTTCTCTAAATACAATGACTTAAAGGGACAGGTCATCCAGAAATGAAAATTCTGTCATCATTTACTCACCCTCATGTCATTTCAAACCAGTATGACTTTATTTATTCAAATTGTTGTTTTTTTGTTTTGCACTATTTGTGGAGATACATTCCTCTTTTATGTTCCACAGAAGAAAGTAAGTCACATACAGGTTTGGAACGACATGAGGTTCGAGTAAATGATGACACCATTTTCATTTTTGGATGACCTTTCCCTTTAGTTTAAACACAAAGCAGTGCATTTCAGCGCATTTAGTACCTGGTTAAACTGGATTGCTGGTGGTTAGTGGAAAAAGCCACAGGTTTTTAGAGTATGTAAAGTACAACTGTTTAGTGAATTCGCCCTTATGTGTTTCTATGAGTGTGTTGGCTTTAGTCCTAACTGCCTTCAACAAACCAATCCTTTCAGCTCACTTCAAATTAGTACAACATACAAAATAGACTATATGGAAATGTAATTTTTTATTCTAGATTGCATAGATCACTGTGGCACTGTGTAAAAGCCACTTTAAGGCATGGTCTGCGATAAAATCTTTTTTTCTTTTTTGACTTTTCCTCCCTTTCCTCTTTCCCAAAGAAACCAGCTCAGGGTTGGGCACCGGGGCTATCGTGGGCATCCTCATTGTGGTCTTCATCCTGCTCCTCTTCGGCGTGGATATCACATGTTACTTCCTCAACAAGTGCGGCCTCCTCATGTGCATCGCCGTCAACTTTTGCGGCAAGTCTGGGCCCTCTGCCAAAGGGAAGGATATCGAGGAGGGAAAAGCCGCTTTCACGTGAGCCTGTCTTTTCCTTTCCCTCTCATCTGTGTGTGTTCCCTTGTCCGATAACGCCATCCATCATTGCTCTCCCATCATTATCGCTCCCATCAGCTCTACAGGAGGGCTTGAGGCAGGGTTGATTGTGGCATATCTGACTCCATGAGTGAGAATGATGTGAATATTGGCTCATGGCGGCAGTGTTGAGATAAGAGGAGAGGAGGAGAGGTGCATGCTGGTTAGGAATGAAAAGGCTGCCTGGGTGCATCTGTTTTAGTAGCCTTTGAAAATGCTATGCAAAGAAAACCTTTTCCTTTTTAACTAGCAAGTTATTATATCCAAATTTTGATGTCATGTTATTGCACTGAAGGGCTCAACGAATCTCCTTCTCCCCGTCTCTCCTCTATTCCCGCTGTCCTCACAGGCACGCTGCTGACAACACAGCAACAGTAGTGGACTTGCTTCCCTCTGTAACCACTAACTCAGACCCCGGCACTGACAGTCCTGCTAGCGATAGCACCACCCTTACCTCAAGCACTGCCCCTGCGGCCAACCCTAAAGCGGCCCCTAAAGCTACCCGCGAATCACGCCCACTCTTGGAAGGCTTGACATTACATTTTGTGAGGTTCAATTCCTAATTTATAGAGAGAGGAGGATTTCTCTAAATACAATGACTTAAAGGGACAGGTCATCCAGAAATGAAAATTCTGTCATCATTTACTCACCCTCATGTCATTAGAAACCAGTATGAATTTCTTAATTCAAGAACAAATAAATGTCTCTTTTTTTGTCCAAAGAATGAATGTAAATGGGATCCAGTGTTGTTTTGCACCTTGTTTACTTTTATTGTATAGAAAAAAAACAGTTGAAACATTCTTCTTTTATGCTCCACAGAAGAAAGTAAGTTGCATAAAGGTTTGAAACGACATGAAGGTGAGTAAATGATGACAGAATATTCAT